GCTAGGTGATGATGTCTGCGGGTTCCATGTGGCTTCAAATTCTGGTAATTCTTTCCACTTAATTAACACCACTTGGGCTGCTGCTTCACTCTTTGGGATAACATATTCCCAACACCTCTTTTAGTTCAACTATTAATTCCAGTTTTGGGCCCAGCATTGCTGGTAGCGGCTGGGATCATTCCGCTGGTCATAGAGCCCGCTTAAGCTGGGACACATGGGAGACAGGATGAATGGATGCCGGTGTGGGTAGATCCAGTTTGTAAGCAACAAGTCCAATGTGTTGTATTACTCTGTATTGGCCAAAAAGTGAAAGCAATAAGGTTGAAGTTTAAGTACACACTGTCTCCTTTGATGAAGATCAAGACAGCATAAAGCATGATGGGCCAATTGAGAGGAGATCACGATCCAATTCAAGTTATACATGGGCAGCAAGAAGATGAGCATAAGATGGACCTAATTCAAGACATATATAGGCCACATGAGGGAAATAGCATTATGCCTAGTGGGCCAATCACAAGATCATGGGTCAAGAAACTCAAGCAAACCCTTCAAGTTTATGTTCAAGAATGGATTAAGAAAGAAGAAAGGTCTGGGCCGAATTTAGAGATGTTAAAGGATGGAAATTGGATTCATTGAGCCTTTGGGAGAGGCGACCAATTACTCTCCTATAACTCAAGGAAATCGAACACTAAGAGTCCTACAAGGCACTCTCAGCAATCACTCTTCCACAAGCTAAAGAGTCCTTAAAGTCTTGAACACTTGGCTATTTCACTCTTCTACAAGTCTTGGAAGCCGATCACTCTTCTTGAAGAATTCTTGCCAATCACTTCTCTCATAAAGCATATTGAACATGTGAAGAATAAAGAATTTTATCCCACAAAATCATGGCCAGTTTTAAACATCAATCTCATAAAGAATAAGAGTCCTTATCCTACAAAAGTATGGCTGGATTTCAGCTCATCTACAAAAACCGAAACTCTTACCAAATTAAGAGTCCCTGCCAAGCACTCTTCTACAAGCATGGATGATTCACACACTAAAGAGTTCTTGCATTTTGTTCTTCTTTAATCCAAGAGTAAAGAGTCCCTTGTCATGTTTTAGCATGCGGAAATCATGATCTTTAAAGAGTCCTTATGGCTGCCAAGATAAGCATTATAGTTAGGAGTCATTGTTAACTTAGGCGTCCTTTTTCTTTAAGGAGTCTCACAACCTGCCTTGATAAATAGATTCTCTTGTATGCAATTTTATTCATTCCATCATGAATCAATAAAGTTATTCAAAATGTAGCCGATGGCTAGCTCACTTCTTGAGAGGTTTCTCTCAACCTTCTACTTGCATTAATGATTGATTTCAACCTATTAAGGTATTCTTATGGTGTTTTAATCAAATCTTTTTTCTTTTATCCCAATTATCTTAGTTTCAATCATAAGTTAATTGCAAATAAATAAAAAAATTTATTTAGAAATTGAGTTTTAATACTAATCGTGTATGTGTGAGTTCGGATTGCAAGTTGATCCTAGGTTCCGCATCATTTGTCTTCAAATTGGACTTCCTTGTAGTGGTTATCTATAGTTGCCTTCATCTTAACTCGTGCGCGGCAACATGTACATTTAGTTCATCAAGGATGGCATCACGTTCAAGGAGTTGTTTGACCACGAAATTAGTTGACCTCTTGGCCCCAATTTACAGCAAAAGGGACGCACCCCTACCATAAACAGCTTTGAACAGCGTAATACCAATTGAAACATGATATGTAGTGTTATACTAATACTCTGCCCAAGGTAACCAACAACTCCCTGTCTTTGGTTTTTCTGATGAAAAGCAGGGGAGGTAACTCTCCAAACACCCATTCACCACCTCTAATTGGCAATGTGTCAGTGGATGGTATTCAGTACTTTTTTGTAAGCTGGTATCCCGCAAACGAAATAACTCTCTCCAAAAGTCATTGAGAAAGACATTATCTCGGTCTAAGACGATTGAATATAGAAACCTATCAAGCCCCATAATTTCCTTGGTGACCAATGCTGCTGCAATTGCGGTTGCTGAATAGAGATGCTTGAGTGGAATAAAATGGCTAAATTTACTTAACATGTCGACCACCACTAATATGAAGTTAAATTCTTATGACCCCGATAATCCCTCAATGAAGTCCATTGAGACATCTTCCCAAATGAGTTGTGGCACAGGTAGTGGCTGTAAGAACCTTGCGGGCGGTAAGGATTATATCTTCTTTTGTTGGCAAACTGCACATGTCTCCACATATTTTTGTATATCCTTCTTCATCTCTGTCCAATATAAGTCTGTCATGGTCCTTTTGTAGGTGTGGAGGATGCCTGAATATCATCCTGCCAGGCTATCATGAAAATCATGAAGAATACGCGAAATCAAATCCAACTCTCGTGACAGAACCAATCAACCTTTGTACAATAATCGTCCTTGGCCTAAGGAATATTTAGGCCATGTATCTGGGTCCACTTCCAGCTTTCTTTTAAGACAGGACAAGCGGCAATCCGCCGTCACTTGGTCTACAATTTTCTGGGCATTAATAACCACAAGAACGTAAGGCTAGAAAGTTCTGGAATTAAGAACTGCCTGGACAATGCATCTATTGCCTTGTTCTCTAGTCCGGTTGGTATTGGATCTCTAACTCATGCCCAGTTAGTTTGGATAGACAATACTGGTACTCATCATGCACTATCCTTTGTTCCAACAGATACCTTCGGAACTCTTGATTATGTGCACTACAAATCATCGTTCCTGCAGACAATGGCACCACTTTTGAGTGGCCAAAACTATAGTCATCAATTCCCATTCATATACTGACTTCTGTCGTGCTTGGTTGAAAAAAGCACGACTAAAATAGGCAATGGATCCTTTGCTTTAAGTCAACACTGCCCCAATCCCACACGTATGTGCCTGTCTTAATAATGGAAGGGCTGAGAGAAATCCGGCAATGACAACACGGGTATACAAACCACAGCTTGTTTATGGAGTCCTGCTAAGATGCATCTTTTCTTAATAACAGAGTTAAAAGTGCCTACAATATACCCATAACCAGCCACAAACCACGGTAGTAATTGATGAGACCCAAGAATCCTCTTAGCTCCTTGATATTCGTTGGGGCTGACCACTGAACCATCACCACAATCTTGCAAGGTCGATCACAAACACCTCCACCAAAACTAAATGGCCAAGGTACTCAATCTGAGACCGAGCAAAAGTGCATTTTTTATGGTTGGCATACAAATTTTATTTGAGTATCAACTCAAACATCATCCTAAAGTGCTACACGAGTCATAAGGTTACTACAGTCTTATACAAGGATATCATGGAAGATACCAGGACAAATTTGCAGAAATAGTGTTTGAAAATCTTATTCATTAGTGACTGAAAGGTGGTCAGCGTGTTGATGAACCCAAAGGGCATCACGAGGAATCATAGTACCCTTCATGTGTGGAAAGAAATTTTCAAAATGTCCTAATTTATATGAATCTGGTGATATCTGAACTTGAAGTCCAACTTAGAGAAAACTGATGTCCCTTGTAATTCATCAAGCAACTTATCAAAGGCCGAAATAGGGAATCGACCAGGTATTATAACCCGATTAAGAGTGCGATAGTTCACATAAAGACGCCAGCTCTCATCTTTTTTTCTTAATTAAGAGCGCTGAATTTGAAAAAAGACGCATGCTTAGCTGTATAACCCCTGTTGTCAGCATCTCTTGAACTAACCTTTCTATTTTATTCTTCTGTGAGTGTGGGCGGCGGTATGTCGAATACCGATTGGATTGTGACTTCTTTTAGTTGTATCTTGTGATCCACCTTCTAGGTTATAGGTAATCCCTCAGGCATGTCAAAATTACTTGAAATTGCTCTAAAACCTTCTATATCAGGGCTGATATTCCGACTTATCGTTATTGGTACAAATCAATCTCCGAAACTTAAGTAGCATGCCTTGATCATCTTTTTCAGGAAGATGCATTTCTTGTTAATGGTTGCATACCCTTGTAACACCACTTGGTTATTCCTAGTTTAAACTTCATTAGTAGCTCGTCTCAATTGACCTTCATGTTGCTAACATGCTGAGCTATTGCATTCTTAGCACCACGGCTTCCCAAATCAAAAGGAAATTTTGTACCATCGTCAATCCTTGCATTGTTATCACTATTTTACAACATATCTCCACTCTTTTACCGTCACTCCAGTGCCCATTACAACCCTGTAACCAGTAGTCTTCACCATTATTATCTTCAAGGTCTTCAAAAAATCTAACCCGATGAAATTATGGGTTTGCACCAAATCCAATGAGAATAGTAATTGGATACCGTCAATGCTGCTGTTGAGCTTCATAGTCCCCCAACGTAGTGAGCCCCTTTCAGGACCCGAGAACATGGTTCGAACCTGAAAGGGTAAGTGATTGATTTAAGTGAAAAGGAAGAAAAATAGAGAGAAAGATCGGAAGAAAACAAAACAGAGGAAGAAACTGAGAGAGATGAAGAGGTTTCTGATAGGAAGATAGAGAA